GTGATTGACTGACATTCCTTTATCTGTTCTGTATGTGATGACCTCAGAATCTTATTGTAATCTCTGCATTATGTCATCAATTGCCCCGTACCTGGGAGTGTATAAAAACTCCGTAGTTGTGATGAAGTTTTGCAGCAGAGTTCACCTCTGCCTGCCCAGTAATGCTTGCATTATCGTGAGTACCGCGGGAACCTTGGGGTAATACAATAAAGCCTCAGATGGTCTGGACGCTTGATCTTTCCCACGAACCTGAGTTTTATTTCCTCTTCTCAAATTGAGATTCCGGGATTCTGACAATATCAATCAAGTTTGAGCTGGAGTCACTTTGTCACACTTGAGTCCCATAGAAAACAATGGGGAAAGTTGGTCATGTCTAATCCAAGGGTGAACAATTCAGTTCTTTGATTTCATTGTTGTTGCTTTAACTTGGAAGCCTTTAGATTTAAAAGCAGGCAGTTAATTGATTGGGTAGAATGGAGGGATGGAGGGATAAATGCCATACTAATTCCTTCTCTCAGTTTTCTAGCTTAGAAAGGTGATTTAGTGGGATTAAATACCCATTAACATCCATTACCCAGCCTGTAATACAGTCAGGGTAGTTAATTGAAAATGGAATGCACTCCCCAGAGAGGTCCGCCTGGCGCCATCATTATTTGTTTTTTGGCACCAGGCTAAGACCTTTTATTTAAACAATATTTTAATAACTTTTAATATCATCTATAGGTTTTAATTTACAGCCAGGGTGAATCTGGATTTTATTTGTATTGTGTTTATTTATTTTATGTAAGCCGTCCTGAGGCTATGCGATGGGACGGCATGCAAAATTCTAAATAAATAAATGACCATCAGTGGTACAGAGTCTGACTTCACTACAGTCCAAAATTCAAGCAGTTCCTGCTTTGTACTGATCAACCATCCCATATGAAATGACTGATGTAGAGAAAACAGTGCCACCTTCTGAAGGGAAAAAGCCATGGCAAAGCACAGCGCTTGAACTGCTTTTCCTTCAGGACACATACTCCCTGTTTCTTCGCACGGACTCATGTGTTGTCCATGCCATGCTATATAACATGGAGGGCTCCCTGAAGGCACGTGTATTTCCTATGATGCCTCTTTCCCCTTTTCTGTATGTGTCACTTCTTGGGAATTCTTCTGGGTTGCCCTCAATAAAACGGAGGGCATCTGGAGAGATTTAGCTGCAAATGGTTGGCGCTTGGAAAGGTGAAAGCATTTTGCAGCCTGCACTGTGTAACAGAAGTCTACTATTTGCAGGAAATGATGTATTAGTAAGAGAATTTAAGATGTCATCAAACATAATTCTGCTTTGCTATTCACTGCAATATTTTCTACTTACTTCTGATGGAGCTGAGTTCCAATAGCTTTAAAGAAATAAAGTGACTAATGCCATTTGGTTTAAGAGATACAACTGGTAGCACTGCATTTCCAGACCCTTACACATACTTTCATGTTTATTTACATCCCTCCCTACAGCATACCAGCAGTGTCGTATTTGAGAAGCCTTGATCACTGGAAGCCAGAAGTGACAATGTAGAAGAATGTTTTGCCCACAAAATCTGGAATATTGGGTAGACTCCGGCCACAAGTGAACTGTGCTTTAGTGCACAGTTTCAATGGAACAGTGAATCTCTCTGTACTTGATTGTGGGCAAAAGATTCCCACATATAGCATATATCCACATTCATGAGTTCTAGAAACTTAATCAAAAAGCGAAACGTTTATAAATCTAAATATTGTGATAGATTTCACAAGTATGGAATTGTAGGTGATGAACAGACCCACCTATAACCCCAAATGAATAGATCCAAGCTATTTGCTCAGTATACAATATCATACCATTAAGATAATGGGAAACTTAAAACATTTATTAAACAACTGCTTTTTCTTCCTGTTTGAGAGAACTGGTGGTTATATTTTGCTTCCTATATAATGGAAATTGGCTCATTCCAGACAGTCTTTCCTCTAATGTCTGAGCTGCCTCCCAAGTTCCAACTTCAGTTGCAAACTAAATATATGAAAATGCCTTTGCTCTGAATGCATCAAAAGGGCAGTGTTCCTGCTATTTTCTTGTAGCTGATTACTAAAGACTTTGACAACAAAGAGCAAGTTTGTAGCACTTCCTTCCCAGAGGCAATGGTGTGACACTAATGCAGTTTGAATTCTTTTTTATCTCATGTAACCAACCCCCCCCCCCCCACATTTCTCAAGGAGACTGTAAACAAGCTGTTTTCAAGGAAGGCAAGTTGATATTACTTTCTACTGATAGTTTATCTGCTCTTCTTGTTTAAAAAAGATCATTTAATCATGTCATGGTTTTGTGATTTTTTAAGAAGGTTGGTGCTAATAAAGGCATTATGGTACTACTCCTCTTCAGATTCTATTGATTGGTGTCTATTCCTATCAAAACGCAGAGATTACGACAAATATTTCCCCATGTATCACATGCTTCCTCTACTGAGCCCAGGAAGAGGGGCCCTTTCCCCCCACTGTCCAGCCATTCCTTGCCGATCAGCAGAGCAGCATGGAGGTAATCAAAGGGGGTGGGGAGAAGGTGTAACCATTTCCTCCCCCCAAATCCTGCACAAAATCACCACATTCACCTTGGGCTGCTGCTGTACAAATCTGAACAAGCAAGACGAGAAGGCCAAGCTAGAACAGGAGGAGGAGAATCCAAGCGCAACTCAGCCGGGGCTGCGGAGTCACTGGCCCTTTTGGCCACCCACTTACACGCAGGCATGAGGCACTTTGGGTTCAGTGGCTCTTGGGGCATCGTGATGCACACGGAAGCACAGATCTGCCTGTTCCTCAAAGTCCTGCTTTAGCAGCACAAGTGCCCTCTGCTCTAGAGCAGGGCCTGCACCCACACAGTGTTGCTTGTGATGCCCTCGGACTACCTCTGAGTTGCTCCTGCAGATCTTGCAAGAACTGGACCACAGGTGCATAAGGGCCAGAAGCTGATATTCCTAGATAGCCTCAATCCCAGCCTAAAAGAATATTGTTCTCCACCCCTAGTGCTAATGGATTCGCAGGCTGTGGCAGGCACTCACGGATGCCTGGGCCCTGCTCAAGAGCTCCCTCCACATCCTCCTGCTTGGACCTCCTCTTGGAGAGCCAGAGGAGTGTGGGAAGATCAGCGCCATCCCACTCCCCCTGCCAAAACAGGCTAGGTGTTTAGCAGGCAGCTGGCGAACACAATTTAGCAGGCAGTCACACACAGTGCTGGTAATTCTGGTGCCGCACAAAAATAATTATCTCCTGGTTTTGTAATCTTTGCTCTCATTTAATTTGTCCATTATTGTCTTTTGCAATACCTGCAATGAAATGGATTTGGCAGCAGCATATTGTAACCAAGTTACCACACTTCATGGTTCCTTTTAAAAAAGAGAAAACATATCTCCTGCTTGCTGCAACTGCTAATATACTTTACACTTTGTTCATGGTGATTGAAATATATTATTCTCAAGTCTCATTAAAGGGCATTTTCCTTCTCTGTCAGTTGATGGAATGAATTAAGCTTTATTGCAAGAGCTGACCTTTAATCAAATCTTTACAGACTGTATATTAGCATTGCCAGGACAGGATCCAAAGTTAAGCACTTCCAAGTGACAATTTGAAGGGAAAGTTAAGCTTCTGCTTACATTTCTTCTATCATACCTAATGAGACTTCAAAGTGCTTGATGTTACTTCTACTAGGGCCCTTACTAAGGTACTAGTAATATTCAAGCTTTTTGAAGAAAGGGTTAGTTAACAATAATGCCTTAACATTAATTATTGCAAGACCAGTAAAAGAAATTGAAGAACAGAGTAAGATATTGCAAAATTTCACTAAAATTTCAAGTTGGAAATGTCAGGATTTTGTTACTACTCTATTATATGCAAGTTATTTTTTCATAGAAGTTGACAAAACTCCATGGAAATGTATATTTATAGCAGATATGATTAATTCCAGGGAATAAATGTACAGATAATGAGATTTTATGTATCATGTACTGAAATCTTGAGTACACATTTAAATGCTGACTATGAAATGGCACTGGAATTTGATGCATACACACATGCCTACTATCTCTTTTGTCCATCTTATCTTAGGCTTCACTCCAGGAAAAAATTTAGCATATTTATGCTGGTAAATTTAGTAAAAGAGACCATGATGCAGTCCAGATTGTTTTAGGACTCATTGTTAACAAACAATGCTGACGGATTCATCCCGTGGCCTTTCAGTATTAATAAACCCATTGACAGAACTGGACTGAGAGCCACTGGATGGGTACATAGAATGTTACTTTGTATTCAGGTTAGGAAGACATAAGAAAGGCTTGCTGAGTCTGTGCTTCAGGGAACCTTTTAGTCAGGCCTGAAAGCAGCGTGTTTTGCATCTTCCGTAGGCTTCAAATTACATTGCTCAGGAGCTGCTTTCGCTTTGCTCTTCCTCTTGTGCTCTTGGGCACAGACCTGTCAATTCTCAAGGATTGCTGCCCTGCTCCCCTTAACCTCAAAACATTCAGGTATCTGATTTTGCTGTCTTGGTGCGTTTGCCCTTGCTGTGAGGAGGAGAGGCTGAGGTTTGGGCAAAGCCAGCCGTGTTCATCACAGCCACCCTCAAGAGGCACTTCTGACGTTCAGTTCTGGCACGCAGCAGGTCAAAGTTTTCCCCCAGAGTGGTTCAAAACACAGCACATCTATGCAGAGGTTGTCGTGCCATTTCTGTTTATTTTACTGGCTTTATGGTTAGAGCTCATTTGCTTGCACTGAAGTTTCCAGGGTGCAGCTTCTGATCCACACCTTTCAGGGCGAATAGATGATGGAGAAGTCCCTCACAGTCTGAGAGATTCGACACCTTCTGGTTGGAGAATGCCAGGGAACGCCTCCCTCAGGACTGCAAGCACAGGGATCCAAAGTACAAACGGGTTGCCTGAAGGACCCTTTCAGGCTAGGCCATGTGCACAGGAGTCAATAGGGCTGTAGCCATGCAGAGTGGGATTTTGTTGCAGGAGCAGTGGGGAGAGAGGATATAAGCCTTGTTTTCCCTGCACATGGCCTTTCAGGGATGACTCATTCCCTCCCCCCCCATACCTGTAATTAATTAAAGAGGGAGACATTGCTGCAGGTTTCATATTAAGTGCAACATGTCAGTCTTTATTTCACCAATTTGTAGACAAATGGCATTGGGGTACCTGGAGCGATTCACCCCTGAAATGTTTCCTCCTTCCATGGAACCAATCAGTGTTACGGATTTTCATTAAAAAAGTCATATGCTAATTTATGTAAACATGTGCCCTTTATTTTGTTACATTGGCACACCGGTGCTCATTTAGCATAACTGACAACAAAGCAGTCAGAACACAGAGTAACAATCACTATTCTAAAGGCATGTATTTCCTTGAAGAATGGAATCAGAAGCGATGAAAGACCTGGCAAGGTTATTTGAAGATATTTTCTTCAAAAATCAGATTTGTCTTTCCACAAAATGAGATTAGAGCACAGCAGCACTGAATCCAGTCCATGTCAAAGCGAGAGGGCTTTTGCTCCTCCGCAAGTACAGTTCACATAAAACCAGCATCACAAACGTTCCAGTAGGCTGCAAAATTTATGAGTGGTACGAATAGAACAGCTGCTGTCCACACACCATTCATTTAAATGGATACAAAGTTAAAGTGATAGCATATTTCAGGGTCTTTAAAAAAATGACTTCAAAGCTAGGTAAATGCCCTGATGACAGGAAAGACTGGGCAAACTGGTGTAATGTTGGTTACATGACTTTCCTTCATGGTAGAAACCAACATATATGAGGAGGTAACTGCACAGCACAACATCAGTATTGCAAATCCTTATCAGCAAATATAATAATAATAAAAACATTACTCTCTTCTTCCAAACAAAGTGCTAGCATGAAAATAACAAAACAGAACAGAACTGTGGCTTGCAAATTATCTGGCCTCATTTGCAAGCAATGCCTGGGTAAACAAGAAAGAGAAAACTGGCTGCCAACCACACCGGCTCATGCCATCCCTGGGGTCATCATGGTTTTGAACCTGGAACCAGTAGGCAGGCAAAGTACCCACATTCATAACACATGGTTAGTTCTAAGTTGCAAGCTGGGGTTGTTGCTCTCACAACACCCTCCAATTCTGGGTAGAAATGTCACAATAAAGAACATAGGAATGGAGTGTCTCTGGGCTTGATGTGAGAACCAGGCACACCCCAGCATCTTGATGCAAACCTGAATTTTGTGGTCCTGAGCAAATACGAAGCTGCTGAGTTTGGGTCATCACACCAACCCTTCATTCATTTCTGTTGAGGATTTAGCATGCAATCCTGTGTACCTTTAGACAGAGAAAAGGCCTTCAATTTCCAGCATGCCCCAGCCAGCCCTGCTGGGAGTTCTAGGAATTTTCTCTGTCTAAAAATGCCTAGGATTGCACCTTTAGATGGTTTTTACAAAATAAGAGCTCCACATTTTTGGTGCAAACACTCTTGCAAGGTGCAAGCTCTTTCAGGGCAGAGTACTTTGATTTTTGCTTTGTTCTTTGTTACAGCAAAAAATATATATAGGCTAAAAAAGAATTTGAGATAAGGAAATAGAGAGAAGCCCCTGTCCTTGGTTCACCGAGCAATCAGTCTGCAATATCTCACAACAAGAACACTAGGCCAAGGCAACGTTCTGAAGCACAGAGTCCTGCTGGCCGCACGGGAATCATTTCAGTGACTGCACAAAAGACAGGCTATGCTCAGTTTCATTAGCATCTTCAAACAGAAGGTTAACAAGTGGCACCATAAGATGAAGTCGAGGCTTAGGAATTTAAATCAATTCGATTTGTAATTAAAAAGAAAGTGCTTGTTTCCACAAAGTGCACATTTGAACATTTAACACCCCAATAAGCTCTATTTCCTCTTTTTTATCTAAATCGCATACACATGGAGAACAGAAGCAAGGACAGAAATGACACAACCCATCCGGTATGAAACTTCCACACAATGAAAATGGCGGGGAATGTGAGGAGCTGCTCCCCATTCACAATTTAGGGACAGTGGGAGGTCATCCGAACTTGGGGGAGGGGGGACAATGCATGGGTGGGGGGGCCACATGCGCTGTCTAGCACCTCCAGCAATGTCCCTGTTTCCTCTGCCATCAAAACAAGGTAAAAGAAGTAAAAATGGTACATAAACGCTGGTGAAAGCTTACTACAGGCAACTGTAGCTTGTTTTCAAGCAAAGTTTGTCCTTAGTAAGCCTCTGGAAAGGCTTTGGAGGCTTACTAAAGATAAGTTTAGTTGACTTTCATGCTCCTTTTCTTTCCTTTCCCTACAACCACCATGGCAAGTGTGCAGTCCAAGGGGTGAGGGAGAGAATTGGACCTCGGCCTGCTTGAAGAGGCCTCTGCCTAATCTAAACACCCATATTACAGTTGGAGTTTCCAACATTTGCTGCTGGAAAGGGAGCCGATAATACTTGAGGCAGGGACTGACAGGGAGTTTTTATTCTAAAATACAGTGGTCCCCAAAAGTATGTTTCACAGTTTTAATTGGATGGTAAGTGGATTTCTTTCTCTTGCCATTGGATGAAACATGATCCTTGCCTTCCAAAGAAATAGGGGTCTCATCAGAATAAGCTGGCAAGGGCAAACTGCATCAGTTCGCACATTGTGTGTTTCCTAAAGCGTTGTTCATACACCCAAATTAAATGTTACCTGCAAATGCAGCACCAGCATCCCCTGGCTCACAAAAATGGGAAAAACTATTTCTAGACGGTCATCTGGAAACAAGATGCAGCAGCTTGCATCCTTTTCCCACCTGCAATTTCCAAGCAGCCAGATCTCCCTCTCTCCGCTCCCTCTGTGGATCGGAATCCAAGAACATAAGCATTTAAACCTCTGTAGAGAGCAAAATCTTCACTGGGGGATGTATTTGCAAAGGCAAAATGAAATGGTGAGCAGCTGTAGCATTAGGATAAGGCAGGTGAACTTTTCCAGTGCAGTCTTGTAGTACCCTCTGAAACTGTGTGCATCTAAATGCACGCCTGTTTAAGGCAACAAACCCAAGCAGACCAAACAGTTATACAGTTGCTCACAACTGGTTCTCTCAGGCTGTAAAGTGTGTATTCACATTTCACACAGAAGAAAAAGGACAAGAGTTTTTGATGACTAAGGCGTAAAGATTCCTCTGGGGTAGCAAAAACGTGATCATCTGATAACTAAAATATGTGGCCAGAGGCAAGCTGCTAATATTAAGACCAGCCTAAATGTATGGACCTAGGTTAGAATGTGACAGGTTGTTAAATTGGCAGCAATTTGGCAATTGTGCAGTGGCTATGTGCGCAAATGTTCGCCCCACAAGAGCAATGGAAATACTTATAGTCACAAACATCTAGTAGTACTTAGCAGAAGGAAGCAGGACAGCAGAATGTGATCTTAATACTGAACACAACTGGGGTAAAATCGCACCTGTACCCAGTTTTCCCTGGCCTATCCCCCTCTTATGCACCCCTGCCCAGTTATTCCTGAGCCGTTCCTGTCATCTTCAGGGATGAAACCCAGAGGTTTAGGATTTGTTAGCGATTCTGCTTTGCTTTGCTTTGCACAAGCAGCATTTATCAATAGGGACCAGGCTCCAAAGATGCATTTCCAGCCATCTTTATTGTGCACCCCCATGTGCCCCAAATCATGTCTGGGGATTGAAGAACTCTCTGAAGTGGCATGTCATGTCCATGGAAAAGAGAAGTAGATGGGTGGAGGAAACACCAGACCAGTACGCCAGTCCAGGAGTCTTTTGGATCTCAGTCAGTGAGATCCTCAGCATATCCAGTGAGATCCTATATACATCCCACAAATGCTGTCAGATAAAAATGTAGCATCAGTGTTCTAGAAATATAGCTCAAAAGAGCAAATGCATTTTCCCCTATGTGTGTCGGGGGCTCATTCCACAGTAAAATTTATTCTTTAGATACTGTGACCTCTTTCCTTCTCGGTCATACAAATGGGACACATTTTTGGCATGATATTTGTTGTGTGTATCTGATGAGAGCTACCAAATTTCTGTGTAAATCCGGCACATAATAGACAACGTGAGCATGGCATCACAACAAGGCACCGCATTTTCACCCACTTCTTCCAAGCTATAGAGATACCAGCAGCGCATTTTGCAGAAAGGGGCTCTAATCTTATACAGAACTTGAAAAGGGAACCACCAGTTTGCCAGCCACATAAACCTCTTCGATATTTCTGTCATCACCTGCAATCACAAAGATGAAAGAGATTACTACCCTTTCAGGAGGGCATCCTATACCACTGTGGAAACCTGGAAGGGTCAGGTGAAGGCTGGGAGCAGAGCTGGGCACTCAGCACCCCTTTCTGGGTATCTAATGAGAGGCAGGGGGCAGCCAGGAATGCTATTTACCTTCACTTATCTTATGCTTACCCAAGAAATCAAATATCACAAAACCGCAGTACGACTGCAGTGATCTCTCTTCCGTAAAAAACCCAACCCAGGCGGTTCCTCTAGAATGTCTTGCAGTTCTAGGAAGTAGGAAACTCTTTGCACAGGCAGCTGTTACTCATGTTGCTCGGACTTTGCTGACTGGTTTTTGCAAGAGGAAGAGTGTGTGGTCACAATGTTACAGAGTTAGTTCCAGTAAGGAAAGTGGGCAAGGATTGATAAAGAGTTCATCAGCTACCATAACTATGGTCCAAACTTCATGTGTAGCGGCAGAACCATGTCTTCCAATATGGATCTGGGCCAGTCATATCTAAAGTGGACCCTTGGGTACAATTATGTTTGTTTCATTTTTATACCACCCAATAGCCGGGAAAAGTTAAAAACACACAAACAAGAAAGAGAGAGGGAAAAACCCTCCAAAATTAACATAAGACAATATAACTGCTGCAATGGCAACCAAGTCAGCACAGGGGTATAACAGTAGTACAGCATACAATGCAACAGTAAAACTGAAGTTAAAAAATTAACTGTTAAAATACTGGGAAAATGAAAAGGGTTTCACTTGGCACTGAAAAGAATACAGAGTAGGCAACAGGCGTACCTCTTTGGGGAGCTGATACCATAGCCAGGATGCCACAACTGAAAAGGCCCTTCTCTTGGTAGCCATCCCCTTTCCTCTGGATAGGGCTTCCAGAGAAGGACCTCTGATGATGACTTTAGGCTCTGGGTAGGTATATATGGGATGAGGTATTCCTTCAGATAAGCTAGCCCCAAGCCATTTAGGGCTTTGAATGTGAATGCTAACTCTTTCAATTGCATCTCTGAATGAATGAATGGGAATGATGCATCCCCATGGCCCTGCAGCTGTGCCCTGTATCAGAAGTGAGACTGAGCAGGACAAAAGCACCCCCCCCCCTCGATCTCATTCAAATGGGTCAAACCTATATGGAAGCATTGCATGTGGTTTGGACCCAAGACTAGGACAATTTGCGTGCCACTTTTTTTACTTCATTTAAGTAGTCATGGGCTTTCCTGAGAATGTAATAGCAGCTGTTCTCATGATGGCAGCCTGGTCGTAGGAACTGCAGGCAGCTGGCTACAGCTGAGCCTCCCAAGTGGCACATTATGCTTTCTGATGCAGGCATGGACACAGGCCTTGTCTATACCCGTGACTTCTAGTGTTCAATGGAACTAAAGCATTCTGTGTGGAGAGTCCCTGAATGCTCACTTATTATAATAATTCTGGTAAAACATAGGAATCCTTTCCATTGCTGTTTTGCTCATATCTCATCCTGCTGAACAGAAGCCTATTAGATTTCTAGTCTCTTGAACAGATGTAAAAAGCTGCCAATAACTGCTACTGTGGGACAAGAAATTGATGGCACTTCACTCAGTGTAGACTAGAATCCCAAAGCACCTTGACCCTAATCCAGATATAATCTAAGCAAAAAAAGTTGCATGCAACCAGAAACAAGTGGGAATAATTAAACTGTTTGCCATAGTACTAAGCAACACATTAAAGCAGCTCTTCTTTTCACATTGAGGGCTGAATGGCAATATGTTCATTCACACACGCTTTGCCAAAGCAATGGGGAGTGCGTAAGGTACTGCATATGAACATCTGGACATGCATATGCATCCTGCCCCTGCAAACTGGCACCAGGACTCGTGTAAGTCAGTTTCCCATACTCAGTGCCAACCTACATGTGAACAAGCTGGTCTTTGGATCTACTGTATTACCTCCCATTAACAGTGTATGTTAGCATATGCAGGCCATCAGTTCAACACAGAGGCAGTATTAGGGGGCTGAGCCCCAGATGGCTGGGAGGCTGCCTGCCCCACCACACTGCTGTGCATGGGCATTTGCTGAAACTGGGGGGTCCTGAAAATCTCTGTTGCATCCGATTCTCCTTCTTATGCTTCTCCTCTTGCTGCCTGCTTTGAATCTTCCTGCCTGAGGTCTTTTTCTGAATTTACATGCACTCCTCTGCCCTGTCCTTACATGCTTTGTGCAATTTGGGACGTCTTTTGGAGGCAGGGGCTTTAGATGCATATATGGACTTCAGCATATTTCTAAATCAGCATATGCCGAACTGTGCATTTTTTCTCCTGTAGGCCTGAGCTGTGGATCTTTTTGGTACCCAGCGCTGCCCTGAGTTCAACTATGCATCTTGTCACAAAGACAAAATCTTATCGTGAAGACAAACTGATGCTGGACAAAGATGATAGATGGGTCTGTTTCAGGTATATTTTCTCATGGCCTGACATTTTTGGGTGTACCAGAATAGATTCACTACGCAGTCCTGTTAATATTTACTCAGGAGTTAGGCGCACTGAGTGTAATAGAACTTACCCATTGGAATTTGAACCTTCATGAGATAAACATCTGTTACTTAGTAAAGTTTACATATTGTGACCATAAAAAAATAAAAGCATGCATTGTAAAAGGGGACAACAAAAACAAGGAAGTGCCTTAATGTCTGTAATGATTAGATGACAATATCTATAGAGGGAAAACTGTTACATACCCAAATACAGGAATTTCTGGGTAAGATCCTAAAACATGGAAGAAAAAGCAAATATTCAAAAAGTAGTTCCTCTCTCTTAATAAAAGAACTCAATCAAAGTCTAGTAATAGTCTTCAATATCAAGCAAATGTAAAATGAACGACTAATCCAAATCAAAGCTGGCTATTGGCTTTAAGGATAATTTAGAATGATCACTGTGACTTGACCTGTGCACAAATGGCTTCTCCAAATTCTCCAAGCTATACATGGGCAGAGACATGGAGAGGGTAAGTTCACCAAATTTCTCCAAGCAGAGGAGAAATTACCAGCAGTTTCCTCCAGGGGTCGCCCTTGGGAGGGGTAGCACAGCGTCTTTTGTGTTGCCTAAGGGTGCTTTACATTTTGTGTTCCCACTGCAAATGGCAACAGCATCAATTCTGATGGCAGGCGCCTCCCCCAGCACTTTTACACCCACCACAGTAGAACTAGCAGAGTGCTGTCCTCCAGGCTCTTCAAATTCTTCTTCCTCAAGGAAGAGGCTTCATCATTATCTCATAATTAAGAGGCAGTTGGGGGTGCTGCGCGTTTTCTTTTATTACACATCTTTCCATTGCTTTGCAGCCTCCCAGAGTGCCCATGCTTCCAGATTTGAAAAAGACCATAGGAAAAATGACCTCATAATGAGGTTTAATTGAAATTTGGGAAGCTGAAGAGCCAACAGGATTCTGGACTGATGATTACTGTTGTTGAAAAGAGGACATGTCTCCCAAGTAAGCAAACCTCAGCAGCCCACAATCATTTCTCCAAAATGTTTTCACTATTAAATTTCTTTTTGAAAACTATTCTTTTCTTTAAAATTGGAAGAGAATGGTTAATATTCGATGGTTAAAAAAGTTAACCATTCAACTACTGCTGTGTCAAAAGAAATTTTTGACACAGCAGTACTTGAAATACTACATTAAATTATCAACCAATTGTAAATGCTTTAGCACATCTTATTTCACATTCGATAGGTTCTCAAATTGCCGCACTGTCCTGTTTCTTCCTTTCTGATGCAATTCTTTTTTAAAATTTCCAGTGTGCAGTCCACAACCCAAAAGCTCGTAGTCTGCACACTGCCAAATACTTGGGAAAGAAAATTGTGTTAGTGGGGAACTGACCCAGATTCTTGCCACAATGTCTCCGAAGGAATCATGGCTCACCCCAGGCTTTTGAAGGCCCCTGGGGAACAGCCACCGTAGGGCCTTCTGCTTGGTGATGGCTCTTTCTCATTCTCACTGGCATTTTCTGATGTTGCTTCTCCCTCCATCTTTCCCATAATTCCCCCCCATGGCTTGCTTGACATGCAAGGAGCCGGTGAGCAAGGAGATGGGGCATTTGCTGCTTCTTCACCTGCTCATCACCATCACTGCCTGGGCCAGAGAGAGAGCCAGGTAAGCAAGCTCTTTGCCATGGTGAAGAATGGCAGCTCCTGGTGTCTCTAGCCCCCCTCCCCCACTGGGGTGCAGGCCCTCAGCAGGTTCCCAGCCATATTCACAGTGAATGTTTCTAAAACAAGGGTAACCACCTTTCACACAATTCTCACAGGTCACTAACATAGCCAACCCACTCCAGGCCATTACTGTTTAGCTTGCCGATTTCTCTCTGTGGTGCGTAATAGCAATCTTGAAGAAGGGCTGCCAAGCATCCCACAGGGTCCTTATACTGATGGGGTGACTGGAAACTTCTGTAGTCCAATGCATTGGACTAAAGCAGGTTTCTCCACTCATGTTGCTTTTCATGATGCAATATTTGATTACCTCAGGGGTGTCAGAAGCAAACACATCAAAAGGGCTGTCAGAAGCTTTTGTGTTGATAAGCAGTGCATCGAATTCCTTGCCAACCTCAAAGTTTCCAGTCACAGTATCTAGTCCTAGAGCTATGAGACAAAGTCGGATTATAAATCAGGCTTTTCTGTTACACATGATCAAATTCTTTGCATTCATATGAACTCTCAAAAGGATGCAAGCATGGCACCTAGCAGTGGAAATAAGCTGCCCAGTGCTTTCCTCCTCCCCTGCTCCTTGTTTTCCCAATGGCCTCGTGCCCTTGTGTTTTTCCTGGCATCATTCCATCCTGGGTAAAGTCCCACTCTGACCAGGAGAGGGCAGGCTACCTCGAAGATTTTTCTTTAGACTCCCTGTAGGACCAGTCCTAAAACATCCAACCACCAAATGATTTTGCCCAAAATATGCAACAGCACTGAAATGATTATCTGAACTCAAATAATACTAAATAAGTAGGGGCAAGGACCCTCCTTTAATTTGAAGGCTGCAGTCCCTTGATGCTCCAGAAGTGGGTGCAACTGCAGTTGCAAATGGATGGGGCTAGGCCTGGGCTTGGACTAGGGGTCATTATGGCCAAAATCAGAAGTACATGGACCACCCCCTTTTCCTTCTTCCCATCTCTTTCTTTCACACAGACCCAATCATACGAGCCCATTCATCCAAATTCCCCACTTTCATACATAACTTCACACATTGGTATTTATAGAAAGACAGACAGACAGACAGACAGACTGCCTTCCTACCCAGAAAAAAATGTCAGTCAAAGTCCCTTACAATCTTAAATAAAATTCAATTAAGACAATAAAACAATTGTAATTAAAACACAGCACAGACACATCCATCCCTCCCTCCCTCCCTCCCTCCCTCCCTACACACCCCCACCCTTCTGTGGTGGATGAGAAAAAAGAGGCTTTTCTTTCTTCCATCCTGAACAGTGGAAAAGAGGCTACAATGTCTGCATGGAAAATGCAGATAGAGAAACAGATCACAGTCTGCTCCAAAGCAAAGGGATGGGAGGCAGTGAGGAGAGGCTGTGAGCAAGGAATCTACTCCTGATTTACAACAACTGTATGTTGTAAGTGATATAATCAATCATTCCCTGGAGCATCTGCTGTGGTGCCCTATTGAAGCAGCATGGGGGGGGGGGGGCACAATTTATCACCCCTCCCATGCCTGAACCAAGATATTAACCCTGAAAGAAACAGCCCTGTTGAGCACAAGGAGAGTTCAGGCTGATGTCACAATGAGCAGAAAGAGAGCTTTTCAAAAATAGTAAGGATTATCCAAAATCCACAGTTGCACAAGAACTTCATTAGGACCAACCAAAATACCACAAGGGATTATATAAGCATTTATATTCTTCATTAAACTAGGTAGCACAAAAATCAGGGGATGGAGGAAGAAACAGGAAGTAAGATGGTACTGAACACAGAGAAACAAAAAGTGGCTTTGCAAGGCTTGTAAGTCCAGAAATTTAATTCTAGGTAGGGAAACTATGACCTGCGCAGGGGGAGATAAAACAATACCTGTCCAATTACAAGAAAGAGCTGTGAACTGATCTTTAAGTGCTTGTGATTTTTCTTAAATGATCCTAAGCAAAAAAACTGTTCAGAACTGCCACATGTCTTCACAGGCTAGATGGGAGACCGTGATCCAATCCTTCTAGAATTTCTCTTGGAGAAATCTAAAGTATTTGCCTTAGTTATGAAGATGTGATATGATAGCAACAAAGGTACACAAGGTAAAGCCATAAATTCTGCTGGTGGACTATCTCCATACTATTCAAAGAAGAGAAACTATCCAATGCAATCAACCTCAAACCTTTTGTTCCGCTTCCGTGCAGTCATCTTCACGACAAACCATTCTGAGAGAGAAGGCAGACCTTGTGTTCCCAGTCTAGACTTTGACTTGAGAAGTTCACTGCCTACCAGCTTCAGGGAAAAGTACTGGAAGTTCTATCTGCCTTATGTACATCCAGGATCTATGCTCTTAGACTAAAGGAGTACAGGGATGCTAAGTGCTTGTCATTGCTTTTTTTAGTCACTTCTTGGAGATGTCTAGTTTTGTTTTCCTTTTCTTTTTCCAGTTTTGCTCTAAAGAAGCGTCATTTATCATGTCTAAGTACAATGCAACAGCGCATGGCTATGCCACTATTATTATCAATATCATATTGACTAGCCGTGACATTTCAGCCACAGAAATTAAAATACAGCAATGGAAGAAATTGTAAGCATGGAACTTACTTCTGAGTAAACATGCATAGGATTGCACTGGCACTGGAGAAGTTATTGTATTTCGACATAGCCTCCTACCTACGGCTTTAATTTATCTCAGTGGTGCCTTTGGTGCAGGTTCCATACTAAACACAAGAGGGTGGCATGAGATCAAGTCAGAACTAATCTGATAAAGCACAAGAGAACCAAACCAGCATCATGCAGAGATAGTTCATAGCACAGAAATGCTGAAAACTGAAGACAGAGCAAACATGAGATGGACTGACTGCCTAAAGGAAGCCACAGCCTCGAATTGATGCGAGCTGAGTAGAGATGGAATCTGTTTTGGGGGTGGGAATCCACTGGAAAGCCTGGGCTCAGCTCCCAGACTCCAGTCTGCTTTGCCACACTTGTGAGTCCGAGATCCTGGAAAGCGCACTCAGCATTCACACAGCTCCCACCAAGAATCACAGTCCATGCACATGTTGCACAATTGTCATCCCTCTTCTTTCTTGTGTGCAGCAGCCTTTCCTTGCATTGCACCTGATGCAGAACAAGCTTGCTGCGTTCCATGAGCACTGGCAAACTTCCTCTCAGCTCCGCTCACTTTCCAGGACAGGGCAGAGCGGGAGAGGAAGGCTGCGAATGGGAGAGGGACGGATTCCATGGAGCTTCGCTGCATCCCCAGCGCTCAGCAGGGCTGTGCAGGCCTGGGCATTTTAGAGGGCATTCATTCATAGGGTCTCCCTAAGGCAGAGGTGACTCGACAGCACAGAACAACACTGGTTTGTAACATTGTCCCAAGGGCCCTTTTTAACCAGGAAAACCAGCGGAGAGGAGAAGGGGTTGAGATTACAGAAGGACCAAGGGAGAAAGAAGGTGTTCAACCTTTTCCTCCACTGTTTCCCCTTCTCCAGATCACGCCCAGCACCTTATTCTTGACAAGATATGCACATATCTAGAGTTTAACAAGGAAAAGCCACCTGGAGCGAGGAAACAAGGGTAGGGAGAAAGGGAGAAACTCTCCCCCTTTTATTGCTGCTTCTCCAATCTGGCTCACCCTTCGGGAAGTGATGTTTCCTGCTCAAGGCATCTTGCTGCCAGAGGCAAAGACAAGGGAGTGTTCCATTCCATTCTGTGCACAATGGCTAAATGGGCTGGCAACTGAATCATACTTGAATGCTGCTGCCTTCCGCCATGCCTGCAGGCAGGAGGCTTGCTTACAAGGGGCAGAGCAGGCTCCTGGCCCACAGCTCCAGCACCCAACTTCCACCTCTCAGCACCTGCTCCCTCTGATGTCTGCCTCACTCTGCCTAGTGGCAGGGCCAGCCTTGGCGCCCTGATGGAAACGGGCTGATCGGTTAAGTGTATGTGTATGTAGCTGCAGGTATTAAATAGCCTGACTCTGAGAAGGCACTTTGGATGTTGTATCCCACAGAGATGTTGCGACAGGAAAATACTATACCATGTATGTAATATGCTATGTCAGGGAACAAGAACAGTTTTCATATTGTGGTTACATATTACAGGAATGCTTTCTGAAAATAAAGCAGAATGTTACACAGGTTTTAACTATTATAGTGTGGCCTAAAGCACAGGTGTTGTCACCAAAATAACACACACGTTGAATTCTCTCCAAAATGTAAAATTCATTCAAAGCTGAATTCAAATGCTGAATATGAAATCTTGGTTTTCATATTTTCAGATTATCAGTCAACCAAATCTCCTTATTTAAGGATATGAGAATATTTCAGCTCTATCTTTGTATAAGAGGTTCTTTGATAAAATTATCCTAAGCAATGCAATTCCTATGGCAGAGATTAAAAGAAGGGAAAACATCATTACCTTGGCTCCCCCCAAGGGTTGCTAGTCGGAAGGCCTCCTTCAGAGTTAAGGCTGTTTCATCCTCTTTATTAATATTAAGAATGTTAGAAACCATAATTGCCTTTCTGATTGCATCGAGCATGGAAGCTGAATAGCCACCAGCAACATCTATAATAAAACAGAATATTAAACATCAGCCAACCCTTGGTGCAAATGTGAGTTTCACTCAATATGGCAAGTTGGTAGGCAGACAGGGACGCCTTAGTATGACACAAATGTACTGTGTTGTAGAGCAAGCATCTGCTAAGGAGCAGCTTGTTGGCAACTGCAGCATTTCCTGCATGGTATCCTCCTAGCTAGGGCAGGATTCCCATTCTGCATTAGGGGGATAAGCACACCTGAATGTCAAGTGCAGTGTTGGGCCTGCACACCTCTCCAGAAGCACCCGGATGCATCAAAGGCATCCACCCAGCTCTGGGCTGTTGCTCATTTCTGAGGAGAGTCCTGTGGCCACACCAACAAGGCTCTGCCTTCTCTCCCAGACTTCAGAACCACACCACCGTCCATTGGTCCAGCTAAGGAGGTGATTCCCTAGGAGGAAACTTGCACAAAGATTTCCCAAACCCGTGGTTGTCACTAGCTCTCCCAGTTCTTCATTCGACTTTTTCCAGTCCTGGAAAGTGAATGTGCCTTGTGACCCTTGCACTGACGCTACCACCATCTGTTCCTGTATGAATCTGCCCAGTTCTTAAGGGGGTCCTTAAGGGGGGCCTGAGGTCCTTCTTGGGATGCCCTTTAGCTGGAGGGTAAAGGGCCTGGGGAAAAAGCTGCTCCAGCTGCAACGCCCCATGGACAGAATGCACTGTTCAGGCACTAAATGCTGGGGGCGTTTTATTTACTCACATCTTTATAAACCTTCAATTATTATGATAATAATACCTGCTGGTTTTACTATTTGTACCCTGATCTGTTTTGAGCATTGTCCTGTATTTTAAGATGGTTTACATGTGGTTTATTTTGAAAAACAAGACAAGTGAGAAATGTTAACAAATTGAAAAGCACGTTAAAATGTTTTAAACAAATGAAGCCACCCATCTCATGCCTTCTACAGGGCATGATATTACAATGCAAGATATTACTCCTCCCACTGAGGGCTATGCTGCCTCAGGCATCTTCATCTTCTGGAACACCAGCTCAGTAAACACACCTCACACCTTGAAACAGGATAATTATTTTGCTCATTGTTGGCATTTAATGCCTTCTTTCAAGCATTAACTCACTGAGGTGCTGTCATTGAGGTGCTGTTCTATGATGGAAGCTCATATGGGGTCTGGTGACAGAAAGAGCTGCCTGGCTGAAGTGCAGAAGCCTGCTGAGGTTCAGTGTCTACGCCTTCCTGCACCAGTTCCAGTTCTGGTTGCCATTTCCTGGGGAAAGCAGCCAGCTCCTGCACCCCAGTCGCATGCCCCCCTGGCACACGTCCCAGCCCTGTCCCTCCTGGGTTGGAGGAATATGTTGCAAGGCACTGGTGCTTGAAGCGGGGTGGGCTGCTGCATGGGAAATGAGGCCTGGGTCTGAAGGAGAGATTGTGGGTTCTGTTGGGTGGCCCGGCATCACTTCTCTGCAACTGAGCAGCTTATCTCAGAGCTGGGGGCCTCCCCGGAGTGCTTGTTGTGCATGGCAACCTCCTTGAACTTGTTCTTTAGGGAGTGCAGTTTACCCTTGCACTGGGCTGGGGTGTACAAGAGGTCCCACTATGTAAGTTACTCTGAAAATCAGGGGAAAAGATGCCCATGGCATGTGGACCTCAGTTGTTCCTGTGCCTCTGGACTGTCCCATCGATAGATGAATGAGCCCTGTTCTTTGGCCCAAAAGCAGTCTTGCAGGACTGTGCTGGCTGCCCCTCTGTAGCCGATGGTGCTTCCTTTGGGAGAGACTGCTGAGGAGGGGCTTGGAGGCTGCTGAGCTGGGAGAGAACGGGCTGGGTGTTGCAGGGCTGATGCCAGCATCCTCTCCAGCGGCAGAAGAGGCTCCCATGCCAGGGGATGGACCACCGTGCGTGAAACTCGGCGCAGCTTTCCAGAAGCAGCCCCTGTCTGGAATTCCCTGCGGATGTTGTGTGGGAGTGGATGGTGACAGTGTAGCAAACCTCATATGAGGGGAGGACTGTAAGGAAGGCAAAGTGGGGGACAGCATTCTTCAGGAGAAACTCTCCTTTAGTGATGCCCGGTCTGCTGCCCATGTTAACCCCATTTGGAACAGTGACACTAAAGGCAGGAGGGAGGTACTCTTGTGAGAACGGCAGTGGAGAGATAGCCGTGCAGAGAGTGGCCAACTCCATGGTGCCCCTCTCTGCTGCAAGAAAACATCAATGGGTGGACATCTGGAGGAAAGCAGAGAAGAGGAGGATGGGAATGAAGAACAGCCTGTAGGTGCAAGGCAGGTGGTGAAACATCTGTTACTAGGCACAAAAGGATAGCAGAGGCTGATGGCCAGAGCAGTTGCCACTCTTTCTAAGGGATTCTGTGACAGCTTTATTTCAGGACTGTAGAAACTACAATGCTGGGTTCAGATGTCATAAGAAACCATGGTGGAACATAGTAGCCATAAAACAAACTATTGGTTCTCCTTGTGGTTCCTAAGGACCAAACATACTACACTGAAATACCATGACTTAGTTTGGGCAAAATGACAGACAAACCAAGACTGAAAAACCCATTATGGGTTGTCGTGTCATATGAACTCAATCACTCTTTTATTCTTGCGGGTCTTCTTTTAAGGTTTAAATGTTTTAAAACCCCTATTCAATGTGAAAATATGGGTGACTACTTTCTTGATGGCAGATGTAGTAATAGTACCATGTGGATATATACATGGCTTGTATCCCTTTTTGGTCTTTTCAAACAAATATTATTTAAAATGAAATATTTAAAAACACTAACCTGTGCCAAGGCCGAGCTTCACATCATGCTTCAGAACCTTTTTTGCATTTAAAAGTCCACTAGACAATCTGGATTGGAAGTGGGGGAAAGAAAAAGACATCGTTTTCACAATTAAAGAACAATGTATCAGGACAGATTGCCCCACTTGCCATCCATAAAATGCAAATCCATGCTCTCAGTGCCTCGACTCCAGTAACATTCATGTGACCTGAGAAAGGTGTGCCTCGAAAAAGTGCGGACATTTGGGCAATAAAGCACATCCACCTGGACGGTCCTCTTCCGATGGACACAGCAGGCCCGCACTGGGGCAGTGGGCATTGCACCTCTGGAATATGGACAGCCCTCCCCTCTCCCGGTTCCTAACCGTGCAAGTCATTTAAGGCACTCTACTAACTCAGAGCTATGAAATGGAAAAACTCCAGGTCAATGCATTCCCATCATTAACAAAGCAAACTAACGCACATTAGCATTTGTCAAGAGGGTCTTGCACCCAGCTCTCCTTTGTACACAGCACCCATAGCAAGCCCTCTAGTACCCTAGATACCTCCTCACTCTTCTTTTATATTTGACAGAAACTCCTCCCCATAAAAAGGAATTCTTTTGCTCAGGCATTCTACCTGTGGCTAGTCTTATTCCCATCTTCCCTGCTTTGACTTCCCTTTCCCACATCTGTATAGTTACACTTCCAGTCCAGTCAGGGCTCTAAAGGAGTAGAGGTGTACCTTTATGAGACTATATTTTGGGCAAATTCTCTATTTCTTAACTTGGCTCAGCAGTGCCACTCTAGAAAACCCAATTTTAGCTTTGCATTCAGTAACACCCTCTGCCATCCCAGTTCAATACTGTCAGTAAACAAACATATTGTCAGACTGCAGTTCTACTTTCAGCTTTAAAGTAATGTTAACTCTATCAGAAACTAAATTCTGACAAACAGTTTTCCAGCTTAATTTTTGTGTTTTGAGTTGCTTGTCAAAGGCACGGCATTGCAGCTAGAGGGCACTGGGATTCATACCAGAGGTGGAACATGGGGCAAGAGAGTGCTTTTCACTCCCCCCAAAGCATCAGTGCAAATGTCCATTGCCCCCGTGAAGAAACTGGTTCGGTGCTTCCTCCTACTCATAGAAATGAGGGTAGCTTTAAAGCATAGGAATGGAAGACAGGACTGCCTGGAAAACTGCTCTGAATAATTTGGTTCATTTACAGTAAGTCGTGCTATTCTACTTACGATATGTTTGAATTAGGGCAATGCACAATGGCAGCTCCTCTGAGATTAAACACGTCCAGCTCTTCATCAGAAAGATAGCAGCCATGAGCCATTATGGTCTACAGAGAAAACAGTGCCATTTAGTTTTTGTTGTTGTGAATTACCACCATTTTTATCAAGTTAGCTTTTACTTCAAATGCTGAGGTGAAATTCTTCTGTGGAATTGAACAGGAGAGGCGCAGAAGAGGGCAGCCAAAAGAATCAAGAGGCTGGAGTAACTCCACCGTGAGGAAAGGTTTGAGGCTGCTCAGCTTGGAGAAAGTGGTAAACATGACAGAGATATATAAAATGATGCATGGTGTGGGATTTTCCCCCCCCTCGCTCATAATATTAGAACCTGCATCATCCTATGAAGCTGTTCATGACAGCGAGAGGAAGTAACTCCTCACAAAGCACAGAGCTGAACTATGGGCTTCATTGCCTCAAATGCAGCAATGGTCACCAAGATGGAGGAACGGAGAAGTTCACTGAGAAAGCCCACCAGTCTACATCACTTCCACTATGAGAGGCCGCAGGCCTATGGGAACCACTTACTGGGGACATGAGCAGGAAAGTGCCACAGCATTAATGTCCTGCTTGTGGACTTCCTGTGGGTATCTGGCAGCTCAGTGTGTCAACCAAATTCTGGACAAGACAGGCCACGGGTGTCATCCTTGATGGCACTTCCCATATTCTTATATTAAAATAGCAGAGAAGATCATTTACGCTACAGTGTGACATCACTCAAACCTTTTAATATGGTCTGTAGAGCCTTAGCACAGCAGTTTTTAATTGCAAAGTGACTCTTATGTATATACAGGTACAGGTATGTTTTGTGTCAAAGAGACAGGATGTGTCCCTGTGGATGTGGAGTTGATGTTTTTCCCTCCCTCCCTCCCTCCCTCCCTCTTTCTTTCTTTCTTTCTTTCTTTCTGACCTCTCAGAAGTCTAGGCTGAGTTGCCCGATGTCCTTGGTGCATTTTATCTAATACACTAAAAGTAATGCATGAAAAGTAATAACTTTGTATTTATGTTTTATCACTGCTTTCTTAAAGAACAGAAAGGGTTGTTTGCTCTCGGATAATCAAAGAACATCTTCACAGCTGTATGTGAAAAATTAGCATAGTGGGACACTGCCACTTGCAAACCTGGGAATGGTTGGTAGTAAACCTTGATTACTAATTACTTTATTTAGAAGCATAACACTTAGATTTGCATCTCATTAACATGATTAATGTTGTGTGCACAAGCTGCTAATTGACACTAATTCAGCTAATAAAATGCTATGTAAATCTGAAGGTCCAAAAGGAAATTTTCAAAGGCAAACTCATCTGATTCCCCCATGAATTTAAGTGACACTTGAAAATGTCTCGCATATCTTTGCAGGAGAAAAAAAACCTCCTTCACAAGAATAAAAAAGTGTACAATGCATGCTTCAAAGTCAGGTTTGTACAACTGCATTCACTAATGAGGTCATAATTAATTTTAGAGTGCTTCTGGTGGTGGAGGGAAATCACAAAGAAAACCGTCTAGAAAAACCTGGGGATTAACAGCCAAATGAATTCAAATGCATAGAGATATATCCCATTTAGTGCACTGGGAGTTTGCATGCAACTTTAGAGGTATCATAACTGTATTTGAAAACCAGGATGGAATTTTAAAACAAAGAAGATTCAACCTAAGAGAACAGACTTAGCTCTCAAGAGAAAAGACAGATTGGCCACTGTTGCCATGAAGAAAAGTAGGCATTGATGATTTCAATATATAAAAATATAGAATTCATGCAAATTTAAAATACGTCCTCAGAATTATTAAACTGAATTATATAAATTATTTAAAATGAATACATGCATCATGATTTGAGTGTTCTTCTTAATCCACAGATCTTAAGTTAGGAGAAAAAATTGCTTTTGTCTTCAAGATTATCTTTTGTCTTATGAGCAGTCTTAAAGCACAATGCTATATATGTGTTGACAGAGGAAAGTCCTACAACGTAGAACTAGCTGGAAATAGTAGGACATTTTGTCTGTGTAAAAACAAATAGCCTTGTGGCCTTAGATGTATTTTACCTCTTCAAGCATCAAGAGACCTTTACATGTGTTATCAGGTTAGGAAAAAGGAAGGCAAACCTAGTGACCTAAAGTTGCTTTGGAGTACAATTCTCATAAACCTCAGACAGCATGGCTAACACTCAGGGACTATGAGCTTTTGGGCCTGAAATACCAGAAGGCACCAGACCACCTGGTATTTCAGGGTAGAATTTAAGTTTGGATGCCAGGATATTGGGTGAGAATCCATGAAGCAATCTCCTTCCTGAAGCTACACAGACCTGAATTTGATCACTGCCTTGCCTGGAGGCATCCTTTATTGCTATCAATTTGGCTTATGCGCCCTTTGTTAATTACCAGTTTGATCAACAACATTTTATTTTCTTGCAACAGTACTTTTCACCCCTTGGACAAAGTATATTATTTCACCCTATATCCTCCTGAATGACAAATCATGTGTCTCTTAAAAATAACCCACCTTGTTTGTAAGAAGTTTATTTTTATCATACAACTCTGTATAATTTTGATATGAAGGAAACATGTTTTCTACAAGTTTGATTTCCCCTTCACTCTCACTTATGTGGCTCTGTAAGAAAAGAAGGGGAAAAGAAAATTGTTAGCATTTCAATGCTTGCTTATGCATGAAATTAAGTACTTGCTTTTCATTATAAAATAATGCTAACATTGAATTTCTTAATTTAAACATCTGCAGCACCAACAGCAACAGGAGAAAACTCCTGTGTGCAGTGATTTCAGTCCCACAAAGTCCATCAGAGTTGCCTGGGCTATCCATGCAAGACCTTTTATAAAGCTAGAATTGCTTGAAGAAATGAGCAAGACTGCCACAGATAAGGCATTTTGGAGGGCTTTCATTCATAGGGTTGTCCTACGTTGGAGATGACTTGATGGCACATGACAACAACAGATTTATCATCATCATCATCATCATCATCACCACTACCATCTGAAGTACTAATACATCTCACCTGTTTTCCTCTTGCAAGGAATCCAAGTCTTCCTCCTCTCCATTTCATCCTCACAAGAGCAATGTGAGGTTGGATCTGCAGAGAGTCAGTGACTAGCCCAAACTTCATGGCTGAGATGGAACTAGAACCTGGATCTTCTGTCCTGAGTCCTGGTCCAACCCAACCCTCTAACCACTCTGCTATTTGCTCTCTCTATTTAATGGTAAGGAGGAGTGGAAGGGACTCAGTCCAGCCCCACTATCCCTCCTGATTGGCAGGATTTCGGCACTTTAAGCAGCTAATGATGCCCGCCTGCCTCAATAGCTCTGTTCCAGAACAGCTGCCACTTTGGGGTTCAGATCACATGAAGTGCAGAAATGGGGAACAGAAACTGATAAGTGTCATTAATTGCCCAGTGGAAGTTTAACATGTACGAATGAGAAGAGAAGACAGAAGAAAGCAACTCACAGAAAGACTAATGAATGTACTTGCACACAGTTGAGAAAAATGAATCCATTTGCCTACTAGTGAAGCAGCAAAAATAGTTTTTTAAAAGGTTGTGAATAGGCACATTGCACAGAAAAGGGGTAGAAGGTTGTAGTAGGACAAGATGTCCTGTAGAGATAAGAATACAAGAGAGGTCATGCTGTAAGGGCCCATGGGTCAAATGCTGGGAATGGATGGGAGGGCTAAGCCGGTAACAATCCACAGCAAGCCATAGAGTGTGTGGTTTTCTCTTGGAAGCAAGTAAACAACCAAACCATCACGGTTTGTTTCCAGGGTTGTTTATCATGACCTTTTCAAAGGCAAAGGTTCTTACTGTTCCCTATGGTAAACGCTGCATTGCAAAGGGCATTTTCATATCTCCCAACTAAATAGGGAATATTTGAATGGGCAGTGCCTGCTGAAGAAAAAGCTTCAACCTGAAGGAAACTGGCAGGTGCTTGTTTCCTATAGATCTCAGGACTTCAAAGCCTGACTTCAAGTACTCATGAGCTAAACAAAAGTTACTATTGTTTTAAGATATTTTAAACTGTTGAATGGATGAACTTTCTGTAAATACAATAAGAAAAAACTTACCTGCACATGAATATTGTGATTCTTGGCCAAGTTACCAAGTTTACTAAGTAATTCCTCTGTACAGGATGGTCCAAAGCGAGGTGTTACTATGGGATGCACCCTTGGATACTATGAAAGTTGAAATAATATCAAAAATAGGCAAAAGAGTCTTATGCAAAGAAGCTGCTCAGCTATATCAATTACAGTATTAGCTTGTTCCTTTGGGAATTATTAAAAGACTAGTAGTACTTTTTCCAAAGTGCATTGTTTCCATTCTACTGTGACTAAACCACAATATCCGTATTCTAACACAGCTAGCATGCACAACACACCCAGCATGTACAAATTTAAGATTTAATTAATCATTATTTACCATGATGATGCTATTAATTATCAGAAATCCAATCTGTTAATTCATGTCTGCTGGAAGTACTAAAATGACTTACTGTTTTCATCTACGTAAATTGATAACAGAGAAATATACAAAATGCAAAATTGTCAGAAAACCAGAGAAAGCAAAGGAAGGAGCACCAAATATAAAAACCCTGATACTGTTTCTAAGGCACGACATTTCTTGTTAGTCCACAGAGCGACTCTGTGAAGTAAAGTAACAGAAGTAAATTCCAGGCGAGGCAAGTGCTTGCCCAATGATGACTATTTGATGTCCATGGTTAAGGCTGAGACTGGGCATTATGGTGACAGTCTCAGTTACTACAATGTCATTGTACTCCATTCAGACATGAAATGGGGGTGGGTCCAATTTTTAAAGCAAAAGGGGTGCAAGGTAAAGTGTGCTACCCCCACATCCACAGCTAATTTTCCTTTATACCAAAGGCATTGAGCCTCTTTCAGCTGAAGCAGTGATTCTAAAGTGGGCAGTCCATCCCCCCCAGGGGGGCAGTGGAAAGATTCAGGGGGGCAGTGATTGGCAATTTTTAATTTGCAGAAAAGCAGTAGACCAAATACAAAGAAAGAGGTGTGAGGGCACTAGGGTTGTCGCCCAAGAGGAAAGGCGGTGGCAGCCCGAAAAGTTTGGGGACCACTGAACTAAAGGATCACACTCCACTCTGGGAAAGCTTTCAGGGACCGCATCGCAGTGGTGGGCAGAGACAAAAGTTAAACAAACAGGGCCAAATTATCGATTCTACCTGCATATTTTAGCATCATGCTCTTACTGCCAGTAGCTGAAATTTAGAGGTAGCATTTCAAAGAATGGGGAAGGAAACTGCACAAAAGCTGAAAAACCATTAGGGAGTTGGGGGAAAGGGGGTGAGGCTAGGGGAGGGAGGTATGGCTGGAGCTGCGGCCTGCACCCCTGCTCCAAATCTATGCCCTAACATACCAGAAATCAATCTAGAGAAGAGGTAAGCTATAGCGGAAAGTACAGTATAAGGGCTGGCTCCCACATGTCCAGGCCATCTCAAAGTATTTGGTGCCCCTTCCATTATCCCTGCTCTCAGTTCCTGAAATGGCTTCCTGGAATGCCTAATTGGCTGTTCACCCCACTGCCCCCCCCCCCGCTTCGGAGAGAGTGAGCTGATTGGTTCAGCTCATTGCCTCACACAGTCTGGAAAATACCTCCACAGACTGAAAGGCAGGAGCAGCCTGCAGAGACGAATGCAGCCCTTTCTTCTACTATGGGCCAGGCCTTGGTGGACTGGTGTTGCTGCTGCCTCCCTGGGGGTCACTGGGCACCCTTAATTTCTCGGTGTTCTACATGATTGCCCATGTTGTCCCCGCTTAGCAATGGCCTGGCACCAGTCCCTTTTGCCTTGCAGATCAACCTTTAAGAAATGGGTCTATTACCATCCAGTCTAGCATGGCCCTAAGCTGAGACTCCAGCCACCAAGTTTAGCATTTTAGCAGCAATCTCTACTGCCTAACCCAGGGGTCCTCGAACCTTTTGAACAGGGGGCCAGCGGACAGGTGCCGGCAGTGGCCGCGGGCTGCCAAGGCGGTGCCGGCAGGGAGGTGCGGGCGTGTGGGAGCAGGGGGCGCCTGCATGCATGCACATGTAAGGCGAGGTGGGGATGGGGGGCATGCGGGGCGAGGCGCCGGCTTGCTCACAAGGAGATCGTTTTCTCCAATCAGTCCAAAACTATCTCCCCAGGAGCAAGCTGCATAGGGCGAGATGCCGACTTTCTCATGGGGAGATAGTTTTCTCCAAGCGGCTCCAAAGCAACCTCCTTGCGAGCAAGCCACACAGGTACCGATTGAGTGCAAAATCTGTGGGGCGAGCCGGTTAAAAGGGCATGGCTGGCTGGATGTGGCCCGCAGGCCTTAGTTTGAGGACCCATGGCCTAACCCTTTACACAGGAAAACATCCTATCTTTCTTTGAGTAAAAGGCATTCATAGAAAAGACAGCATAATGAATTATTGCTCAAAGGAAGACAATGCATTTTTACTTACTTTCTTTTCCAATACTCCTCTAACAAACCTGAGAAGATTAGAGAGGGAAGTTAACACATATAAAGAATAATATTAGTATTGAATTTTAGCAGGTAATACACAGTATTTTGTGTCTGTGTATAAGTGAAATTGGTGTGTGAATTGTTTGAGAGTGTGGCCAGTGCATCACCTAGTAAGTCAACACTGTTTAATGGAGGTTAGTAAAACAGTGCAAGTGTACATCAGCTAAAGATTTTGACCTCAAATTTGTACAAGCTGTTGTTAATTAACAGCAAGCAACTGGTCATTACTGTGCTTCCTCTGACAACTGGATACCATGTAAAAACAAATGAAAGCATAATTATATAGAACTGTGGCAGGGTGTTTTTTTTTTAAATAAAAACTTAATTTTGGCTTCATGCCACAAACTGAATGTGCTGTGTTTTTTTACTCCTATTTTAAGATGGCTTCCTTTACAGTACTTAATTAGGTCTAATTTTGAATCTCTTCTTACTTGATAGTAATTTGATACTGTCTGCTTTTTTATATCTTTCTAGGAGCATAATTTGCTTTTGAAGAATGTAGGGAAATGATACTTCAAAGGATTTTGAAGATAGTACCATCTCTATAGCTAATATTAACAGAAGGATTTTTAAACCATAGATGAGTTACAGTCGCTGCATGAGTGGTAACTGGTCTAAATCCCTTGGGTGCCACTGAAGACACAGGTATCTTAGCAGAAGTAAGACATTTCTGCATTGGCATGACCAGTCACCAGACTGGTGGCTTTGGATGCCACTGTGAGACACCCAAGGCATGGATGCCGAAAGTGTCTTTCATACATGACAGTGCCTGCATATTCATGCAGACACTTTAAGGAACCACTGTTCACACACCTAGAACATGGTGGGAACTTTTAATAAACTTTCAGAAGTCCATCTAGATGCCACATCCTGGGGCCTTTCCCGTTCTTTTTGCTAGTCACAGATGAAATAATTTGCATTGAAAACTTGTTCATTGAAAGCCTCAGTTTCTCAATGCTTTAGAACCAACCCAGACCTGATAAATATCTCTTGAATTATGGACCTTTATGTTTTCTAATTAGCAGCCCCAGGTAGATGGGACAAATAATTGGCCCTGATATAAAACAGCCTCCTATATTCCCATGTGAAAAGAATATCACAGAATAGGTGCTGCCCCAAGGGCGTAATGACACTGAAGGGAATACCCATGCACGTGGTGGAGAGTTCCTTCTATAGTTGAACTTGAGGCAGGCAGCCTTTAAAAACACTCCAAAAATGTGTTTACATTCTATTCTAGGCCTTTCAATTGTCCAGGACACATTATACTTGAATTAACTAGGCTATGTTGCACTAGCGTGTTGTCACTGGCTGGAATTTTCCAGTTGACCAAATTAGGGTTTCCTAGGACGTAAATACCCACAACAACCAAAAATGGAATGTGTATCATCTTATTTCTCCTCTTTCTCTTTCCTCCTATGTTCCTTGTTCTTAATTAAATACTAAATACTGTACAGGCAGAACTTGTTATAGCTTTTAATCTGCAACACTCAGTATATTTATTAAGTATTTTATATACTACTAGTACTACTACTAATAGTACTAATGATAATAAGATGATGAAGGAATCTAAAAACAGTGCAGAAGGAATATGATTTTATGAACCTTCAAACGACACAAACATATTTATATATGTACAGTATATTCATAATCACCAAACCTCCCTGAAATATATTAATATGTTTGCAAGTATGCTCAGGCACTAATGCTAGGACACTTCCAGGCAGAGGGCTTCTTACTGCTACCCGATAGGAGGCATTACGGAACTATTCTTTTCCTCTTTGACGTTTTTTTGTTCTTTCCCTAACAAAAATGACAAAACTGAGGCTGTCATAATTTGGGCAAATTATGAGAAGACAATCATGCTAGAGAAAGTCAAAGGCAGAAAAAGAAAAGGAAGATCATATATGAGGCAGATTTCCTCCATAAAGGAAGCAATAGGCAAGAGCTAAGCCGGGCTGTCGTGGCTCAAACATTTTGGACGACTGCCATTCATGTCAGAGACAACTTGATGGCAGATAGCAACAACAAGGACAACATCAACGAAGAAAGAAGGAAGGACGGAAGGACGGAAGGACAGAAGGACAGAGACTAGAAAAGACAGAAGACAGTTTGGGAAAACATGGGAGGTTTGAAAATTAAAGACAGCATTCTCAGAACTGTCTGCAGACTTTCCCAAATGAAGCAGAGTGATTCCAAGAAGAAGCACTCACTCTCAGCATTCATTTCCAACAGGTTAATTTTGATTATGTTCTTTGGGAATGGGATGTAAAGTAAGCCCCAAAACATGGAAAATAGTTTCCCCTCCTGATTGATAGTAGGCTATTCAAAGCATTGAAAATAAAAACGGACACTATATCTCTTTAAAATGAACAAGCACATCTGAAAATATATTGAGAAAGAAATCTGTCCCCTCAATTTTCTTCAGTAGTAGCTATTCAGAAATATGCTAATGTGGGGACAAAGCCTCAATGGTTTTGCTCTTATCAACTCTTTGCCCTATATCTTACAGACTTCTCACTTCCATTACGTTCAGGAAAATATGTAGTTTAATGTGTCCATAAAGAATTCTCTACAGTTTACCTTTCAGTTTCCTCAACAGATTCTGTGGTGCTCTCCTTGTACTCTTGAAGACTCTCGTTGAGATCCATACAAACCTTGCCCACAAATGCCCGCTGGCCAAATTTATCTGTGTGGAATAAAGAGAATGACACTCAAAAGAATGCTTTCTGCCTACATTACTAGGCAGAATTGCTCTAAACCACTCAGAGAGTGTCAGCTGCAGGGCAGCACAGAAGTCAAAATCATCCACTGGTCTTTGTTCTGAAAGCATTCATCACCCGTCTTTTTGGAGCACGACTGCACTGAAGGAGCAACATGGGAGCAAGAATTTGTGTGACCAACTTTCCAGGCAATTGCGGTGCATTGCAGCCACAGCAACACAGCCCCGCATGGCTCCAGTGTGGGTGCCAAGCGCACACTGCAGCTACAAGTGTGTGTCGTGAATTATTTATCCCTCCATTCATATCTCAGCAGCGAACCTCCTAGGGACCATCTCTCAGCTGAGTAAAGAGCTTTGGACACCCCCAAAGTGCTATAGATATAATGATGGATCAACAGCAACATGCCTGGCTACGGAATAATTGCCACGAGGTATAGTGAAAAGGAGCCAAGTACATTGGGGACAGGTCTAACGAAGGCAAGTCGCTCTCTCTGCATGGAGTCTTCACTGAACGAAAGGCAAGCTGCGTGAAATCTAACAGGCCACTGCTGGAGAGAGAATGCATAATCAGAGTGAATTGTTCAGCTGATCCAACAATGGGATTCTGAAATGAATCACATAGAAAGCTATTTGGAGAATTTGGGTGGGTTGCGACAAACACTAAGGAAATACTCTAATGTCCTAGTCTAGAACTACAGGGTAATCTGAAGCTGACTAGGACTCCTGCAGCTTCCCATTCCTTTCACAGGCAAGATCCAGTTGGACTGGAGCTCACACCTTTCTATCTTTGAGTAGACAACAGTCCTCATTCCATTTTCATTATTCTGGCCAGCTTCAAAGATACGAAAGAGCTATATGTTTATATGAATTCTGTTATAGGGGAAAGTAATAACTAAGTTGGTTTCATCTAATAAGAAGACTTGAAAAATCCTCTGAAAGACTTTCAGGATTTTACCTATAATATCAGCAAGAAGCAAAGAGGCATCTGTGTGAATTGTTGCAAAGTAGCAGGCGGTAGTTGTGCCATTCTTGAGTGTTCGCCTCTGTAAGAAGAACCCAAAAGTTCAGTTCCTTGCCAAAAAAGCCATCCAATTAATACTGTTAGTAATGTTTGGTCCAGGTATCGGCACAGGTTAGAGCAGTGTTTGTAACACTTCAAAAAGATCTGGCCAGATGCAACAGTCAGGCAATTCAGTTGTACCCCGTCCAACACACTTAAAAATTATTATCTGTTTCTAGCCTGTGGAATACTTTTATAACATACATCTGATGAGCCGGATTTCCACCTTTTGCATGTTCCCTCTTCTTCCCCACATGCCACCCATTTATTACTGTTTAACTGTTTATTCATCCTTTACCAGAACACGAAGGATTGGAAAGAGTCACTCTTGTTCATAATGATGTGGTTCACACATAAGACTGAGGGTTAAACAACCCATAAGTAGTTGGGTCTGCATGGCAGGGCATGTTCACACTGCTTCCCCCATGATAGTTGCATTTGCTTTGCATCCACATTCATGAGCAACCCAGGGTCAGCCTGGTTCCTCCGCTGTTTGATGCAACATCTGTACTCCGAGCTCTGTGTTGCTGAGAGCAAACAATTCAGAGTCTGACTCCCTGGCCTATTGCTGGCTAAGAACATGGGGTTGCTTATCCCTCAGCAAGTCCAACCTCCAGTTTCACATATGATAAACAACCCAGGAGGGAGGCATTCCTGGAGTGTTTATGTGGTCGGCCGGTGGGAGGCAACGCGTGGCTCATTCCAGTCAATCTCTGCCGAGCTCATACTCTGAATGAATGTCTAATTGGAACGCTCAGGAGGAGTAGGGGTGGTAGTGTGATCTCATGCCAAATACTCTTGCTTACAAAAATGTTACCAAAACAGTTGAGGGAGAAGTTACTTACCACAGCTCTAGTGTACACCTCTTCAGCAAAATCAATGTCTTTGTATTTGGCCTCTGTTGGGAATGTGTATCTCTTCAACCACTCCAAAAGAGGCAGTTCTAGTTGTATTCCTGCAAAGGAATACTGAGGAGCGTGGATGTGAGCATCAATCAAACCTGGCATGAAGAATTCACTGTGGAAGAGAAGAGAGCCATTTGAGATAAATAGCTTACTTCAAAAAAAAATGGTTTTCCTAAGTGTCTTATGTCTTTGATTACTGTGCCTTAAGAATATACTTATGTGACATTCCTCAGCTTGAGAGTATAATAAGCAATTAAAAAATCAGCATCTATAGATCAAAAATTACTACTAGCCAAAAGGAATAATTCCTTCATTCCCTCCAGCCACTAGGCAATGCGGCACAATTTCGCTTCAAATGACTTTTTTTTTAACCTAACGCAACACTTACAATTAATATCTGGCTCTGCTAATATAAAAACAGTCATGTTTCTCTTCATTTCCAGACTCTGCCTGTTCAAGAACCCATGTCTTTCACCCAAGAGAGAAACTTGGGTAAAATACATCTTTAGCTTCTCATAGTGACTAATTAATGCAACTTGCAGTCTCTGTTTTGAAATTTAGTCAACATGGCCTAATTGTTTCTTCCCCCACCTTTTCCTCCTTGCACCACTTAGCCTGATAAAGAGTTCTGGACAACCTGAAACTTTGCACACTTTTGTTACATTTTGGTTGATACTAATAAGGGTATTGCTCAGCTGTAGATTTTGGATTCCTTTATTTATATAGTTTCTATTACAGCCTGAAGTGCCTGATTCTCCCTAATCTTGAAAGCTAAGCAGAGTCAGGCCTGGTTAGAATGTGGATGGGTGACTTGAGTGTATGGTTCTATGATTATGGTTGCAAACCTCCCACAGAAGTTAGGCCATCGGCAATATAGAAACGTTAACAACAACAACAGCAACTAGTGAGCAGACCTGGCTTTCCATGGGTTAGAATAGCCCTCAGTTTGATACAGTGAAGCTGTCAAGCAAACTTACACAGCTATCAAAGTTGGACACACTCTGCCTGCCTTGCCCGAGTGAAGGCATCTCTGCATCATTGCCTCTGCCATGCTGCACCTCGATTGCTCCCTGAGGAAGGAGCCTCTCCACACCATCCTTCTCGAGGATGCTATCCAAGAACAGCAGAAAGAGGCACCCAACTCTGTCTCTGCTCAATGCGCTGCGCACTGATTAGGGCATCTGCCACCCAGTGCCTGCTGCCATTATTGCATGCTTCGAGTACATTGCCCAGTTGCATTTTTACAACAAAGTAACTTCAAGGTGCACAGGCTAGGGTGGCAGATTTACAGGCATATATATGGAAAAAGCGTTCCAATAACAACACATGAAGACTCGCACCTTTTTAAAACTCACCAAAAATGCAAATACATTTTTTCCAATATAGTCACAATATTTGAATAGAAATCTGAATCTTAAACTTCAGTTATGAAACCACTAGAAAAAAACAGGGAAAATAAGTTGTACCTTAAGATCCAACTCTGACAGTTCAAGTTTAGCAGGATTTCTTCCCTGTCCATTTATTTAATTAATTTTTAAAATACTACCCTGCGTCCTTTTTAAGATCCCAGAGTAATGTATACTCAAACAAGCAACCAGTTAACAGTTAATAAAATCAGTTTACAGCAGATTAAAATGCCTGGTTAGACAAAAGAGAGCCTCAGTTAATGGGCAGTATAAAACTGAAATAAATAAATAAATAAATAAATAAATAAATAAATAAATAAAGCCATTTTGTCTGTTGCCAAAAGACTGTACACAAGGCAAACCTCTCCTAGCTGGGATGCCACATCCCCCCCCCCCAAAAAAAAAAAAAGCTTACTCTTTTGTTGTTGAATATTGTACCACTAACAAAAGAAGCATCTGGAAGAGGACTTCAGTGGCACGTCTAAAGGTTAGGGCAGACTGATAGATGAAGAGGTGCACATTTCTTCAGGATTTGGGTCTCAGGCCATTCATGGATAAATACCAGCACATTGAATTGGACTTCAGCCAGTGGACTCTTTCATAACTGATGCCCCCTGCAGAAATTTGGCTGCACCAGCCAGCTTTCCAGTGGCTGTGCTCTGCACCAGCTGAACCTTCGGGGAGTAGGGTAGGCCCATGCAAAACAGCCTGCAGTAATCCAGACTGTTGCTTAACAGTATATGGATCACCCTGATCGGAGCATTCTTGCCCAGAAATGGCCACAGCTGGTGGGCAGGTTGAAGCTGCCCAAAGGCACTCTATGCTCTCGTGGCCACCTGCTCTTCTAGCAACAAAACTGTATCTAAGAGTACCTCAAGTGGTGCACCTGTTCACAATGTCATCTGCCATGCATTATTGATACAGGCAACCAATTGGTTAATATGGACAAGGTTTACCCCTTGATAGGATCTTCAGCCTTGACCATAGATTGGAAACAATGGCAGGAAAACTGCTCACCACACAACCAAACAAATGGAAAGCTGTTCGTCTCCATTGTGCCACAGCTGCCTGTTTTAGGTACCCTCTCCAAGAGATCTACAACTGGAGGGGAAAGAGTTCCAGCTCAGACCCAATAGGATCGTATTCTATGGGCAGAATGAGCAAGGCTTTGTTGAAATTCATGATTATTTCACAGGAACAATGTTGCTATATACTGTATTAATATCATATAAATACTGCTAGTTGATACAGTTAGTCGCTGGTAACTCATTTCGTTATGGAAATTACAAACAGCAAAGGCAGCAGTTAATATTTCTAAATGCTAAATTGCAACTTCTGTTAAAATGTATTTATGTAATTCCATCCCTTTTATCTAGGGATTTGAGAATTGCGCTTCTCAGTTCAGTAAGAGTTTTCAGCTAGCTATGCCCAAAGTTCTTTATTATTCATTCATTTATTTAGTTGATAAACAGAATTACACCCTCCACATAACAGGCTCTTGGGGCAATATACAATAGAAAAAAACATTAAAACTTCACATAAAATTCCTGGAACAAAGAAGCAAAACCAGGCACTGCAGAGTACCAGCAGCATTAAAATTAAAACATGAAACATTAAGACCCTGCCAAAACAGGATTTATTTACTGTCCATCTAAAGCAGAACAAGGAGGGAGTCAACAGCTGGGTTTGCATAATTAGGGAAGCAAAAGATGCCACAGTCACTACGGCTTGCAGCCCCCAGGTGCCAGCCATCAGTCCCCTCATTTTCGAAAGCACCCATCCCATGCAGGGGTTGCCACGGAGGCCCAAATCTACCTGGGTGGGCAGTGAGGATGGTTTCCACCCCACCCCAGAAAAGCCACCCCCACCTCACTGGGTTTCTCTGACAAGGCAACCCATGCACGGCACAGGTAAGAATGGAAATAAGGTGGCACTCAGGGTGGGTAGAGGAAGCCACCATGCCTTCTTTTCATTCCCTGATCATGCAAGCCCAGCCAATATCGCTTCCCTTGCAAAGGCATTCCACAAATGGCGTGGCCATCAAAAAGGCTCTGTCCCGATACCTCTCCGCCTATCCCAGCTTTGGGATATTACACTCTGCGCAAACAGATGCATCCGATTCTGCGCAGGAGGTGGGGGACAGAGGTGAGCAACTGCCTTTGTAATTTCAAGGTTACCTAGAGAAGACTGGCAGGCAGAAGGTGAAAACCAGCCCACCTTGGAAAAGGAGAGAGACATTTCAGAATGAGGGAGAGGGGTGCCAGAGATTGAGGGGTGCCAGAGATTAACCCTGTAAGGAGGAGACAGGAGAAGTGAGCAGACCTATTAAGAAGTGTCTGACTGCACACTACCTACCTGTCAAGTGAAATCGTTCTGAAAAGGAGGGGAAGAAGGAGGGGAAGTTTCAGGTTAGAGTCATCTCTTTTTGTGGGCAGATACTTTTCACACATCTTGAGGAAAATGCTGCCTTAACCTGTGCTGTAACCAGTAAAGCTCTAATAAGGGTCATGCTTCTCTGTTCCCATCTAAGTCCCCTGGGGAGGAAAAGAGCGAAGGGAAATTGTGCTCGTGACAATCCTGATATATCAGAGGAAATGCTGCCCTCTCCTGAATGAGCTGTGTTCCCAGTCCTGGGCTCAGTTGTCCACTGACCAACATGGACCGACATTACTTCCATTTTATCTGGACAGAGCTTCAGTTTGTTCACACTCAACTAATTCCTCGCTGCCTCCAGCCAATTGGTTGGACTTAATTGCTAGCTTTGATGGAATTTGTTTTAGAGCTGAAGCAAAGGTATGAATGTTTGTTTTGTAAATGAAAAAATGAAAGAAGAGCATTAAAAAATGTAAGTTTTAATTTCATGAGATGTTAAAACTCAGTGTCAAAAACGTGTTGGAAAAGTTGCCAGCAGAACCTTCCTGGGAAAAGAGGCCTGTAAACAGGGCACTGGGACTGACTCTCTCTCCAGTCACTGCCCTACTCAGGTGGCAGGAACACCACAGAGAAAGCACCAAAGCTGACTGCGGAGCTGATAGGATGGCCATTTCCAGTGCCCATTTCCTGAAGGCAGTTGCATGCCTGCGGGCTGCGTGGCAGGTTGCATTGGGATCCGCCTTCTGAAAGAGGAAGAGGCCTTCCATGAGAGGAAGAGTTCCACTCCTGGAAAGTCCTTCTGGCTGACTCCTGGGGATCCCCCTCCCAACACAGACTGGAGCTCACCCCATTCACCTGGGCCCGATTGCTGCAGCTGACCATCACTTTTTCAAGCTGCAACGGACTGCAGCATGTGCGGTAGCCAATCTGAACAGTCAAGCCGGAGCAGGCAATCACCGTGGGTTGCTGGCATGGGTAAAAAACCACCTACGGCCCTAAAACAATTCATACATTGTGGGTGGTTTGTTAACCATAGTGACAACTCGCTCTTGCTGCGTTTGTGGAAGCCATACCACAGCCGCCCCGAGGCTTTGTTGCGATGGGGGCGGCATAGAAGTGTTTTAAATAAATAATAAATAAATAAATACCGGGCTGCAGCAATCATGCAAATTGAGTCTCGGCAGCATTTTCGGAGGACTGAAGAGCCAGCCCTGCCAGGAGAGGGCAAGGAATTCCACTTCCACCAGGACTGACGATCCAGCTTGGATCTGAATCGAGCAGTCTGACCCACTCTCCAGCTGCCACCCAGGACTTAATTTGTGTGAGGAAGCACCAGGCCTGGAACATACGAAGTGTCCATTAACAGATTTAGAGCAAATTTCCATCATCAGTGAGTAACTGAAGATCATTCCCAGACAGCCTGGATGAGAGAATGCAGTACAGCATTTCCAGAAAGGAGCCGATCCCAAGCATCGCGTAGTAATCACTGTTCCCAGGTGACTTTAGGGTATGTCATAATTTTGCAATCCACACTGGCATACAGGAGGGAGACAGAAGCACATAACCTTTTGCACGGATTATGCACATAATTTTGGCCATTTCCCTAAATCATTTTAATCCAGCCTTTGCTTTGTCACTTCAGTTGAATAATACTGATTCAGCTCACTGAGAAGTGCTTACTTTTGCTGCTGCCCCACACATCGTATCTTATTCTCATTTTAGTCTAGTATCATATGTGATTCATGCTCATTCCAGCAAATATTCAGACCTGTCCTAGTTGCATAATCCTGCAGCAGCCTAATCACAGAGTTGCCCACTTTGTGATTAATTTAATGTTGTATAAGACACTACTGAAAGATTTGCTTTCCCTGAATATTGATGCGAGTCAGTCTTGACAATGGTAATTTGAAGAAGGAGCATCTGAACAGGTTACCTCAAATGGTATAATTTAAATTTAACGCACTTTGGCTGAACTGCATACAAATATGTTGCTTGCTGGATTTCAGCCCTGTGGGATGCACAAACATCTCTCTCTCTATCTCACTGAAAGCAAGCCTCCTTTCTATGGCACAAGAGGTGAAACAAGGAGACCTCCCGCAGTTCCACCAATTTCCTGCTACCCAAGACAACCCACACTTATTAACACAGCTGGAGTTCAAAGCCAACCTGTTCTGGCAAAGCTTTTTAAATGCTGCAGAGCACTAAAGATGAAAAATAACCTTTCTGCCATGTTATAAGAACATTCTGTCTCCAGAGCCAACTAACAACCCACACCTAAATGTATTTCCTTGAAATTAAGGCTCACACCCTACAGCTGTAGTCACCCACTTTGTAGCAATAAGCATTACTTCACTGTAATGAGAGTAGGATAAATGGTTTGTCCATTGCACATAGCTCAAGCTACACTCTTAAATTCCTCTTTTAACCCTACACAGAATCAGTGTCGATCTTATTCCTGAACACTAAGGGGGCTTTTCCTTTCTACCCTCATTTTCTTATTCCGATATTTAATTGCCCCTTGGCAGCTGAGACAAAAAGGAGGAGGAGGGGAGGAAGATAGAGAAGTGAATAGAAGAACTGCCCTGCTGGCTTAGGCAAAGGATCCATCTATCCCAGCGTCCTGTTTCCAACAGGGGCCAGCCAAATACTTCTGCGAAGCTCTTCAGCAGGCCTTCCCTCCCTTATTGCTTGCTTGCAAAACTAGTATTCAGAAGCACAATGATTCATAGAACAGTAGAGTCAGAAGGGGCCAAGAAGGCCATTGAGTCGAACCCCCTGCTGTTGCAGGACACCAGTTTGCACCCCTGCTTGTTTGCCCATTCCAAGCAAACAGAACAAGATGCTGGTGCAGGAAGCAGTCCAGGTTGTATGACATGTCAGCCCACTGTGGCTCGTTACCCATGATGGGTTGCCTTGACATGCAAAGCTAGTCAGTGTCTGACCTTTTGTAAACCATCTCTCGGTTGCAGTCTTGCTACCACCACTGTAACATTTCACATTTTCTTTCATCGTTCTTACACCCTTAAGGGATATTGAAATGATTTCTCCATATTAAGGATGTAAGGATGATGAGAGACAATGTAAAATATTTTGAACGCTCCGAAAAAGTGTTTCATAAATATAATCATCCTCATCATTGAAAACATTTGATGAAAAAGGGCAAATAAACAAATGCTTACTTACTAATTACTGAGCTCTCGGATATCAGATGATTTGAACCCCCACTTCTTTGCCAGATTGTCTTGTTCTTCGGCTGGTTCCAAAAACGCAATCTAAGATGGAGGGGAAAGAATGAGGTATTCAGGTGTATGTGAAAGCCAGTGTGGTGTAGTGGAAAAGAGCGTGGCGCTGGGCCTCAGGCAACCTGGGTTCTAGGGCCCGCTCAGCCATGAAGCCAAATGGGTGCCTTTGGGCCAGTCACAGGCTCTCAGCCCAACTGCCTCACAGGGGGGATAATATTGAGAGCGGGAGGAGGAGAATGTTGTAAGCTACTCTGAGTTCTTTGAAAGAAAAAGATGGGATATAAATATAAGAAAGAAAGAACGAACGAACGAACGAACGGTATTCGGCATCACTCTGTGCATGTGCACTTTAGATTCACATAAAAGGAAAATAGTAAAGGTTCTGTATTATATATTATTCAGTTTATTTTTCTTATATTTTCTTATATATCATTTTAAGTTCATTTTCTGGTCGCATCCTGTAAGCCAGGATGTTATGTTCACCTGGCAGTTGCCCGTCTGAAAGTTACTGGTATCACCCAATTAAAAAAGCCTTAGGATGGCATCCAATAGCCCTACCTCAGATGCATGTACTTGTAAGTCTCCAGACTCAGAGGCTTCCTTCTGTCTAATGGCGGAGGGGAGGGGAGGGGAGGGGAGGGGAGGTGGGGCATGGCATGGCGCGGCAGCAGTGGCCCATCACTGCATCATGTTATCTAGATGGTCATTTTTGGCCATCTAGATAAAGCACCAGGGAGGAGCAGGGAAGGAGGCTGGGGTAGAAGCAGGTACATGGCCCCGGGCTCCTCTCCTCTCTGCCCCCAGCATGGCCCTCTCCCTTTCCACTTCCATTCTCAGGGAGGCAGCCAGTGTGGTTCCTCCCATGCCAGCTGCAAGGTGAGCAGAGAGGTGGCCCAGCCTCCAGAGAACCAGCCCTGCAGTTACGGTTCCTTGGAAGATCCGATGGCCTCCCAGACAATGGTGGGAGGCCACTGAATGGCACCTGAGTCAATTAATCATGTGAGTTTCCACTGAGTATTAACTCCACCTTTTGAATGCAAAATGGCTTCTCTGCGTGTGTCACAAGCGACATTATCTTAGAAGAGGTTTTCCATCTTCTAAGTAAGAGAAGGCAGAATTTCTCTTCCAAGATGGACCCTACCTTGTGTTTGGACTCATTGTGCCTTTACTTCAGCAACAACATTAAACCAAGGCAAAATGGCCAACTTTCACGGTACTCGGACTACCTGCAGACCATGGTGACATTAATCCAAAGTGGCCTGAGGCAAAGGGGACAAATCTTGAGGCTTCAGACCTGCTTTGAAACTGTTCTCCTTTTTTGTCCAATGTAGTACAGTTTTGAAGCTCCTGCCAAGCTCTCCATAAACAGAAAATGCTGGCGGTGACGGATAAGGAGAGGAAATGTAGTTTTATGACTGATAGCTCTAGCTTCCCATTAGCAAAGGAGTTCATTAAGGATTTCCATTAGCAGTGCTTTTCAAAGGCATGTGCAAAGGCTGCATCTGACATGGTTTCAGTAAATTCTCTGGTCTTTGCATGTTGTTTACACCTAGTGATTCTGCTTGGGTGAACTTTATACCTTTTGCTACTTCACTTCTTGTGCCACTTCACTCTGTTTCCAAAATCCTTTGGATCCCGTCTTTTAAAATTGTTAACGTGGTTTGTCTCTGAACTTTCTACATTAGGTTGTTAATCTGTTCTTGGTTTCATTGCAGAATCGACATCCAAGCTCTACATAGCTTTTTCTCTTCCCTGATTTTCCACTGTATAATCTCTGGGTGGCACTGTGCTACAACACAATAACACAACACCCAAGTAGGAAAATGCATTTTCTTTTGCTTCCATCTATAATATTCCGCTTCCCCACAGTTAAAACCAAAAACCTAAATAAATAAATAAATAAATAAATAAATCCCTGTTCAAGTGCTCTTTAAAACAGAAATGAAAGTGGATGGTCATGTCATCACCTAAAGAACCTGTGAACAACTATCATGAAGAAATGAGAAATGATGAGTGAGAAATGAATACATGCCTAATGTCAAAAAGCTCTCAGATTTGAAATGAATCTGTGTTTAAGCTACTAGGTTAGTCACTTCTCTTCACATACACACAGCATTCTAACTGTACTAGCAATTCCTTAAATAATTTTTAAACTGGTATATTTGTAGGGCTCTGGTGTGTCTACGTTGATTTGTTTCATCTGTGTCCTGCCTTTTTGTGTAAACATGGTGCTCAAGGTAGTTTGCAGAAGCAATTAAAATTGATCAAGGGTGCCATCCTCTGGCTGGTAGACACTGACTGTCCAGCCATGGGGAACTGTACAGCCCCAGCTCCAGCAGAGAAAGGTGCTCCAAGGTTGGAGTGGGGGGTCCCAACGCAGAGCACAGTCACTCCCCCTCCCTCACAGCCAGCAGGGTTCTTTCTATGCCAACTGCAGCTTTAAGCCACGTGACTGATCTCTGAGCTGCACTGCAGGGATAGGCCGGGGGAGTCAGGATGCCTGGAGATAAAATGAACCCCAGCAGCACCTTGCCTGGGACTCCTCACAAGCAACCTCAAAAGAACTAGATGGCCAAAACTGGCTAAGTCTTTTGCGGGGCAGCAGGAGATCTTCAGCCCAATGCCTTTCCTGACTCCCACAGGATGCCCTAATCCCCCTTGTTCAGAGGGTTGCAGGCCTCCCTGTAGGACTGAGCACTAAAGGAATACATTAAAATACAATAAAAGCATAACAATTACAAGGAAAAAGTTCTATCTCTGGTCTTTGTTGTAAGTATTGTGTGACTATTCAGACACACAGAGTGCAGTTCATCATAGCTCCCACTGCATCTTCTGGTCAATGCCAATACAAGCATCTCTCCCTCTTTTTTTTTCTTTTTTTCCAAAATATCAAATTTTGAAGTTACCTAGTACAGCTCCCCTCCCCTATACCTTTCTGTCTACAAACCTGGTGGGGTTCATCCCCATCTGAAGGGCCCTGCATATTTAAATTCTTCCAAAAATTAAAATGTTATAAGGATTTTGTCATCAGCGGGGAAGCACATTAGGAAGTTGCTGATAATTTTCTCCACCAGAAAGTGTGTTGCTAATAACCTCCTCCACCAGAAAGTGTGTTGTGGATAACTTCTTTCAAGAGGAGGTGTATTTTGCAGATAACTTCCTCCAAGAGAAAGTGGAGGAAGGAACAAGAGGAACGGCTGTCCTTAATTGACCCTAAGCAAGAGGGAAGACCTAGTGGACAAGGTCAGTTATGGGAACTCTGAGGGAAAGTGGACGTACCTGAATTCTTTATTCTAAAGGAAGCAAAAGCCAAATGGAGACAAACATGTACCCTGGATTTCAAGAAAGTCCGTTTTAATAAAGTCAGAACAATGATGAGTAAAGTCCCGTGGCAACTGGCTCTAATGAGAAAAGATGGGTGGGGATTTTTTAAAAAGGAAAATTCTAAAGGCACAATTTCAAACAATTCCAATGAGGAAAAAAGGTCAAAGACAACAGAAGAAGCCCACGTGGCTTCACGAAAAGAGATGATCTGAAAACAAACATGGACATGCACAGGAAGCAGAAGGAAGGTCAGTCTACAAAGGAAGAATACAGGCAGACAGCATGGAATTGCAGGGAAGGTGTCAGGAAGGCTAAAGCTGGTAATGAACTGAGGCTAGCGAAGGATGCTAAAAGCAACAAAAAAGCCTTCTTCAGATATTCCCAAAGAAAAAGACAGAGGAAAGAAATGGGGGTTCAGCTACTCAGTGTGGATGGCAAAATGGTAACAGATGACAAAGAAAAAGTAGAAGTGCTCAATTCCTACTTTGGCTCAGTCTTCTCCCAAAAGAAGATCTGTGACTTTCCTGACAAAAAGCAAGTACAAGCTGAAGGAACAGGTACAAGTACAAGCAAGTACAAGCTGAAGAAGCTCAAGGTTGATAGGCAAATGGTGAAAGATCATCTAATTGGATTGAATGAGTTCAAATCTCCAGGGCCTAGTGAACTCCACCCTAGTCATAAAGAAACTGGCAGAAGAACTCTCAAAACCATTCTCAATTCTCTTTGAGAAATCATGGAGGAAAGGGACGTGCCAGAGGATTAGAGAAATGCTAATGTTGTCCCATCTTCAAGAAAAGAAAAGAAGAACCCGGGAACAACAGAGCAGTCAGTCTGACATCAGTCCCTGGGAACATTCTGGAGCAGATTATGAAGCAGTCAGTCTGCAAACGCTTGAGAACAATGCAGTGATCTATTTGATTGGGTAACCTCCCTGAGGGACTGTGAGAATGCTGTGGACATTATCTTGACTTTAGCAGTACTTTTGACAAAGTGCCCTATGATATCCTGATTAGCAAACTAGGAAAAAATGGGCTAAATGGAACAATTATCAGGTGTTATTAATCCAAGATTCCAAACTAAAGTAGCCTTTGATACAAGGTAATGATAATCATATTTTGAGCAAGGAATTAATATCTCTTGGTGGCACTAGGTTCAAATGCAATTGAGATATTTTAAAGACCATAGAATGTGGGGTTTTTATAAGGAGTTAACAACATTTGACCATGTGACTTTAAAATCAGATGAGAAAATGATTAAAAGATTGTATAATTTTCTTCTGGATAAGAGAATGGTAGATGAACAAGTTAAGGAAACTATGATAACTTGGGCACAAAACTTTGGATACAATATTGAGTTAAAGATATGGCAAAAACTGTGGGCAAGAAACATTAAAGTAACATTAGCAACCTCATAAGAAAACCTGTATAAAATGTTTTATAGATGGTATCTATCGCCAAATAGATTAGCTAAGATGTTTCCAAATATGTCAAATGGATGTTGGAAATGTAAACACAAACTGGGTACTTTTTATCATATGTGGTGGACAAATAAAGCAAAAAAATATTGGATTAAAATACATAAATAGCTTGAGGGAATGTTACAAAACCCCCTAATATTTAAACCTGAAGTTTTCTTACTAGGCATTGTACCTGAGGATGTTGGCAATCAAGCAATGTATTTGATTTTACATGTAACTACTGCGGCGA